AGTCGGCCGCTTAACCGACTGAGCCACCCAGGCGCCCCTATTATCTTTTTTTAAAAAGTTCCAATGATCCACTGTGTCAAACACTGCTAAGAGACCACGTGGGAGAAGGAAGGAGGATGGACCATGGGATTTTGTTTTTCATTGTGGTAAAATACGTAAACACAAAATTTAATAAGTTAATCATGGTAAGTGCCCAAGTCAGTGGCATTAAATATATTCACAGCGTTGTGCAACCATCACCAGCATCCATCTCCAGAACTTTTTCCTATTCCCAAACTGAAACTGTATGACCATTAAACACGAACTTCCCCCTTCCCCAGCCCTGGGAACCACCATTCCACTCTAGGTCTAGAGGGTCTGACTCCTCTAGGGACCTCACATAAGTGGAATGATACCACATTTGTCCTGTAGCTGGGTTATTTCTCTTGCATCATGCCTTCAAAGGTCATCCATGTTGCAGCATGTGTTGGAATTTCCTTCCTTTTTAAGCCTAATATTCCATTGTCTGGATATACCAACTTATGTTTATTCATTCATCCATCAATGGAAACTTGGGTTCTACCCATCTTTTGGACATTGTGAATAACGCTGCTATGAGCACAGGGTGTACACACAGCTCTTCGAGTCATTGCTTTCACTTCTTTGGGGCATATACCCAGAAGTGGCATTGCTGAATGGGACCACTGGATTTTAGCAGCATGGAAGCCACTGGTGACCCTGGCAAGGGCAGCCTGATTGGAGTAGGTTCAAGGGAGGACAGAAGACAGAGGGGATAGCAAGGAAAGGCAATTCTTTTAAGATGTTTTTCCATAAAGGAGAACTGCCGACTGAAGGGGGCAATAACAGGAGAGCCCTCCGAGGGCAAAAGACGATTTGACTTAGAGCAGCAGGTTTTCATACTCACAGGGGTGATGGAAGAGAGCACAGGGAGAACCCAGAGTAGGAGGGAGGGCATGCGGTCAGTGCACACGAGGGGTCTGGCCTTCAGTAGGAGCAGAGCTCACTTCTGTCAATAGAAAGGAAAGGGGAGCATGTGGATGTCGATGCTGGCAGTTTGGAAGATTCCGGTGGGGGAAAAACTAAGGAAGTTATTCTATCCTTGGTGAAACAAGGAGCTGAGAGGCAGAGGGAAAGGAAGAACCAAGTGGGAGAGTTTAGTGAGGAGGCAAAGACAGATTTCCAGGCAGTGCTGAAGGCCCACCTGAGGTTTGGGGTCAAATTTTAAAAAGTCCAGCCAACAGGGCTGTGTTTTGCTCCAGTCATGGTCATTTCCAGTGCAGGAACTGAGTCACTGAGAGGTGTCCCTTACCAAAGCTGGGTTCTGGAATAATTATGATTTAGAACTACATAAAATTTAAACAGAGTAAGAAGGGAAGTGAGGACATGAACAGGGTGATGATCATTGAGAACTGATTGAATGTTCTAGTAGTGCTGAGGAACTTAATGGGGGGCGGAGTCTATGGTAAATTAATGTTCAGATACAGTCACACACACGCGCGCACACTCCACCTCCAGGGGTGGAGTACAATTCCTCACTCTTGGACTTTGGGCGTAGCCATGTGACTTGCTTTGGCCAATGAAATATCAGTGGGCATGGCACAAACAAAGGCTTCAAAACCCTTGTGCAATTGGGATTCTACTCTTGCAATCTCAATTTCCAGAGAAAGGAAAAAGAGGTTTCCTTTTCTTGCATTCTTACACTTCTGCCATCACTATGGGCTAGCCATCACCATGCATCCCAGAAGGCTGAGAGACATGTGACACAGAGTCACACCGCCAAGCTGCCCCAGCTGAGCCCAGCCTAGATCAGCCAATCCCTAGCTGACTTGGACACATAGGTGATATCTGACTTAAGTCACTGAATTTTAAAGTGGTTTGTTACAATGCAAAATCTGACCAAGACACAGTCCTAGGGGGCTGAACTGGAAAGCTGTGGTGGTCAAAGTCAAATATTTTGAATAACCACCATACAACCCTAGGGAGATAAGAACAATTATTGACTCCACTTCGAGATGAGGAAACTAGTGCTCAGAGAGGTAAAGCAACTTACTCAAATATCCACAGGTGATAACACACCATGTCTCACTAATTTTAGTCACCTTATAAATTTGGCTCAGAAACTCTAAGGATGTCTCTTAATGTCACTTAAAAGGAATACAACTAGATATTACTTCCCAGGAAGGAAAACCTAACTGGGGAAGTTAACCTCATCAATATTTATCTTTGAAAACTACAGTAAGATGTCTCCAGAGCAAAACTGGAGACACTTCCAGGTGTCAGATTTTTATATACAGGAAACATGTTAAATACACGTGATTTTAACTACTGACTTATTTCTAGATGACAGAATAAACCAAAACGGGAAATTATCTCAAAAACTCCATCTCTGTGTTTATAACCAATATTCAAATCAACTCCTTCCCCACTGTCAAATTATATTAATTTGTATGACTTTATCTTATATCATAAAGATACATATACTTATATTTATCTTTTATGTACTGTAGAAAGACAACTGTAGTGAGGTCACCATATTGAAAGTATTCACCACTGGGTACATATGGATAATCTTACTTTCTTTTTTTTTTTTTAATTTTTTTTTTTTTAACGTTTTTATTTATTTTTGAGACAGAGAGAGACAGAGCATGAACGGGGGAGGGGCAGAGAGAGAGGGAGACACAGAATCGGAAGCAGGCTCCAGGCTCTGGGCCATCAGCCCAGAGCCCGACGCGGGGCTCGAACTCACGGACCGCGAGATCGTGACCTGAGCTGAAGTCAGCCGTTTAACCGACTGAGCCACCCAGGCGCCCCAGATAATCTTACTTTCTATGTTGACAAATGTAATAGTTTCAAAACACACACAGGAAGAATTTAGGGAGTAGGATTTGGCAGGGGGTGGGGGTGGGGGGTTAAAGAAGTTTGAACTAGAAGATTGAAAAGATCTCAGGGAGTTCCTGCGAGCAGAGTGCAAACTGGTTTTCAAGATCAGAGATGAAGGGAATAAGGGTTTTCAAAGAAAACAGGTTTTCACTGAGTACTTCAAAGCACTCTACTTGATTTTCGGTATGACAGGCAAAGACGAGTCAAAGAAAAAAAGAAAGAAAAGATAAGCAAGTGAGCTAATGGACAAGAGATCTTGGCAATTTTCAAATTTGAGGAAATTTGCTATTTTCCCTAGAGGAAAAGAAAAGTCCTGGTCCCCAGTGTCTCAGAAGGCTACTGGTTTAAACAAATAACAATAGCATCCTTGTGACATTGGTTTATTTTCAATTTTAAGGGTAAGCATCTGATAACACATGATACTCGGATTAAGAGTCCAAATTCCAGAAAGAGCCTAAAGAAATCAAATATCATTCTTCTATTCTTATGTACAGATTATTTTATTGTAAAAATGTAACAATTACAAATCAGTCTGTTGTAAAATCAATGCTATATTAGCATAAGTGTAATCCCAAGTTTAAAAAAGGCTGAGCAGTTCCAAGCAGGAATAAGCATTAAGCTATGATGTCACTGAAGTTATTGTCAAAAAACATCAATGCATTAAATGTGTTTTTTCTATAGGGAAATGAGAAAAATTAAAATTTCTGAGCAGATTATCTTTTCTTCTTATATAATCACAGACATATTTTTATTTAATAAGGCCATGAGATGATATGTAAACATACTAACTTCAGCAAGATTTTTTTTTTTATCAAATAAAATCATCTTTCTGTTAGAAACTTTCATTCCAGTCATCTTAAGTGAATAATCCAAATGTCAAAGCAAATACATTTTCTTTAATATGACCGGTTAAGCCCTAACCCTCACTTCCTTCTAGGGGAACAGCATTAAAAGCCATTGCTGCATTACTTGCTATAGAAACCTGGATTATCATTTTAAAGGCATGAGCTTGCCTTTGCACACCTAGCACAGGAGAAGGCTCTATCCAGCGAAGAGTGGACACCGTGCTCTGCTTCACAGGTGGAGAGCAACCTGGGGCCAGACCAGGGTGCTGACCTCACAGATTCGCTTTCTCCCTGGCAGCCAAGTGAGACCCATGCTGCATCAAGGTGTGAATGGCGTTCTGTTTGAAAAGAACAAGACCAGCAGGTTAATTAACTCCCTCAGCAGCAACATGGTTTTCGTCTTTGCTTTAATGTGTGCTCACACTAAAATAATAACAATTGGGAATTCATTTATCTAAACTGCCTTATATCATCCAGAGCTAAAATGAAGAGTATGGGCTTTGCAAGTGAGTTCTTTACGTGGCAAATGAGGGTCCGGACAGCTTCGGAAATCTAATAGTTGGCCCTGAGAAGAATCACTGTAAAAGGAAACCAAACTACGCCTCGTCTAATCGTAGTTAGATACCCTTCCTCTACCTCCAGGCTGCACTGGGCTCACCTTTGGTTTCTCAGCATTGTATTTGTCCAAAAGAGCCTGGATGCGGGCGCCATAGTCAGAATGGACATCACTGAAGTTCTTGACCTGAAACCAAATGAAAATGATGCAAATATTACCCGAGCCCCTAACAGGCCAGACCCCGGTGTCCAGTTCACAGTGTTTACTCGTTGGGAAGGAAGGAAGGGTAGAAACACACAGGCTCTGTCGACACGGGGTAAGATTGGGGCGGGGTCTGGGGAAAACCCTGGCCCATACTGGCTGAGCAACCTTGGATAAGTCATTCCTCTGAGCTTCAGTGTCCACTCCCCATAAAATGAGTGAGATAATTAAGCCTACCTCACAGAACATTATAAGAAAAACACATACGAGGTGAGCTGCGCTAACGACGTGATGAACTGACCTCAGAGTGGCTCAAGTCACAGTGATTCGTGTACAGAAATGGGCCCAGACGCTACCTGAATTTTAAGTGACGTGCACAAAGACACTGGCACCTGCTGGACAACTCCACATACTTCAAGCAGGAATTCCTCACCGGGGGCTGATCCTGAGCAGACAGCAGGAGGTGGGGCACCAGGAACCCACATGAAGCCTCCCGGCTCCGGCGCATGTGAGACAAGAACGCCAAGGGTCCGAGCCCAGTTCTGCTACTCTACACTGTCTCACTCGTTCTCATCAGTAAGAGGAGCTAAAACCCGTACCCCCTTATCTCACAGAGCAACTGTCCAGCTCTCTGCTGCAGGCGGCAATAATTAAATAGTGCCTCAGGAATTTAAAGGGTTATTTTTCATACACTCACTTGTGAAAGACAGTTAAAGACACAGAACTTTGCCTACAGAGAAAGCGCCCAGCCTGCTGGTACCTGTCTCCAGGCCTTTGAACACATCCCAGAGAGCTGCCGGCCAGCTGTTCCTTTGAACAGAAAAGCAGCAACCACGAGACGAGGAAACTGGGGTTGCCTAAATTTACGTGAAGCTTAGCCCTGCGGCTGGCCAGAAAACTGCCAAGTGAGAAGGCTCCGTGTAGCACAGTGAACTGCCATCAGAAATACCACGGCACCTCCGCTCAGAAGTTCAGCCTGAGTTTTGGAAGCAGCTCAGTTTTCCCCAGAGAGCATGGAAGTTTCTAGTTGCTTCTGAAGGAGGGTTAAGTGTCATGACACCCAGACAGGCTTCACGATATAAAGTTGCAATCTGTATCTCTCACCTTCTTTTTAAATTTTTTAAGTTTATTTTTTTATTTTGAGAGAGAGAGAGAGAGAGAGCATGGACATCTGCACAAGCGGGGGAGGGGCAGAAAGACGGAGGGAGAGAGTTCCAAGCAGGCTCCACACCATCAGTGCAGAGCCCGATGCAGGGCTTGAACTCACAAAATATGAGATTGTGACCTGAGCCAAGATCAAGAGTCAGACACTCAACCAACTGCACCACCCAGGCACTCCTATATTTCTTATCTTCTAAAGTCTAAGAAAAATTGTGGCAGGACCCACATTTTTATATAGGACAGTACTCTCTTGAACAGAATTTGGCTGCAGTCAATAAAGGGAATTCACCCGAACTCAACTAAATTATTATACGCTGGACAAGGAGCTAATGGATCAATGGATATACCATACTCACTGGAGATAAAACACAGAGAAAAGGATCAGAGGTTGGCTGGGGATTAGTATTGATTTTTTTTTTAAGTCCAATTAGCTCAAGTACAATAAAAATGACACTTCCTTTTAAGGGTTCTTTCACACAGCTGCACTCTCTTCGGCCAGCAGATGTCACCCGTCGGCTTACAAAGCGTGACTCACCGCTTTCTTCTGGATGAAAAGTTGTGCATCTTTCAGATGGCCAGCAATGTTCTCACACAGGCGTTTCCTCTCCTCTTCATTCAGTACCTTCATATAGAAGGTCCGCACCTGCTCAGTGAAAATGCACAGTGCAGAGAATCAAATAACCAGTTTATCATGAACAAAACTCACCCGATGGGCCACTTTTGAAATGAAAAAGTAAGACTTCTTATTAGCATAAGAATGAAAACGATTTCAGAATTTAAGGATAATTTAAAGTTCTAGTTAAAATTGTCATTTGTGCGGAGTTCCTCACTTTTTTTTTGTTTTATTTTAAGCAAAACAGAAAGAATTCAATTGATCAGAGAGCCCACAACTGCTTCTTCATAACGTCCTTCTTCGTCAGTGTTTGTAAATCTCTTATGAACAGAAAACCATACAGTCTACCATTAAGAATCCCACCACACCTTAACACTGCCAAGTCCAAAGTGTGCAAGCTGTCATCACATAGAAACTCAGCACAATACAACCTTTGTTCAATTCACCCAGAACCACAGAGGAAAAAAATTCTAATTCATTAATATATATCCTTAGTTTTTCAGAAGCCAAGCTTTCTTGGAGAAGACACAGGGTGCCTGGGTGGCTCAGTCAGTTGAGCGCCCAACTCTTGATTTCAGCTCAGGTTGTGATCTCAGGGTCATGGGATCAAGCCCCGCATTGGGCTCCACACTGAGTGTGTAGCCTGCTTGGGATTCTCTCTCCCCCTCTCTCTCTGCCCTTCCCTGCACTCCCTCTCTCTAAAATAAATAAAATGAAAAAAAAAATTTTTTTATGAAGATACATGTTAGTAATGATATTTTGTTTATATTATTGAGCTCACCTCTAAAATTAGTATCAATAGATTAAAATGGAAAATTGGAGCTTAGTATTGGTATAGGAGCCCTAATGGACTTTGTTCATTTCTGAAATCAACCATTTAAAGCTAATAGCTATGATTTTATTCTACTATTTCATTCATTCAATCAACCGATACTTATTTATTGAGTACCTATAATGTACCAGGCACTGTTCTATGCACTTTATATTAATGTTTATAAAGTTAAAAAAAAATCCCATTATCCAAAATATCAAATTCATAAAATGTCAAAATGTTCATAGCTTTTCTAAATATGTTATCAAATATCAAGCCATAAAAGCATTGTTTAAAAATCTGAGCAAAGTTTACGTTTGATACCAAAGTTTAAAAATCTGACTTTTGATAAGAAGACAATCCAATCACAGTACTGCATTATGGGGATTTTCTCAGATCTCTCCCTCAATTCACTAATTCTCTCTTTAGCTATATCTAACATATTGCTTAATCATCCACTGAGTCCCCATATCCATTAAATTCTTATTTGAAAAATTGTACTTTTTCATTCTAAAAATATCTATTTGGATCTTTCTTAAATCTATTTGTTTTTGTTTCCTCACATCCTATTCTTATCTTGTAAATCATATTCCTTTCTGTATCTCCTTGAATACTGTATACATGCTTATTTTAAAGCCCTTTTAGATTATCTATAATGTACAGGATTTTTCCATCTATTGCATGTGCAATTTCTCAGGGCGATGGATTTCCCTATATGTACTGTAATTTTTCCCTGTGACTCGTGTCCAACAGGAGTTTTCTGCACAACCAACTGTATCCAAGTTATGAAGGTGTCTTGTGATATTTTCGCCATCTCTGCAGAAGCCTAGCAGGGTTCACTGACCCACTGTCTCTCACTTCAGGGCTTCTTTATGGTTCTAAGTGGAACAAGAATACAGAGACCTCACCTGAGAGGAGAGAAGCAGAAGAGTTTCTTAGGAAATCTAGTTTCTCAGGAAATCAATTTCTCAGGAAATCTAGGGCCCACATGCCACAAGCTGCAGCCTCAGTCTGGTGGATAGTTTGTTCCTGGCGGTTCCTGGCTCTCACCATGTCAAGAGCCCAATTCTAGCTCTCTGCAATGCAAGGAGCCTGAAGCCTAAACTCCTACCCCCTTAAGTCATAAATACGGTCTGGTTACACACCGTAATATATATACCTTCAATGTTCACACACTGTTGTTATTCCTAGAGATTTAATTTTGTTTGTCAGCTCAACTACTTTTTAAAAAAATTTTAAATCTAGCATGTCTATGTGTGATGAGTAGAAGTAAGGCATCCTGTGTCCCATCAATCACCATCAAACTGAAAGGAATTTGGTCCTGCAATTTCAGTAGTGTGCTGGAGCCCGCTTGCTCATGAGGGCATATTGTGATCTTTTTACAAATTTTGTGACCTGTTTACCATAGCCGTTATTAAAAATTCAATTACATAAACTTACAATTAAATAAATTATATTGCAAACAAAGATAATAAACTCCTGGGTTCCTGGGTGGCTCAGTTGGTTGAATGTCTGACTTCGGCTCAGGTCATGATCCCACGGTTCATGGGTTCAAGCCCCGCACTGGGCTCTGTGCTGACAGCTCAGAGCTGGGAGCCTGCTTCCAATTCTGTGTCTCCCTCTCTCTCTGCTCCTCCCCTCCTTGCACTCTGTCTCTCTCTCTCTTTCGCTCAAAAATAAACATTAAAAAAAATTAAAAAAAAATAATAAACTCCCAAAATGTATGATTTCCCAATTAATACATGTAACCTATGCTCCTGAGGTTATTTGTGTCTGCTGTATCTCTACAGTGGAAATACTGAACACCATATCCCAATGCCACAGATTCAGTGACACCATGTTGCTAGCTTAAAATCAGCTCCAGGGAATATCTTCATCAAGAAAATTGACAAGCACTATAAACCAGGGTTTCCCCTGCCCTCCCCGCACACAACTGCTAATATTTATCAACACACCACTGAACAAAAACCATACAAAAAACTTGTTTGCCTAGGATCTGGCTGGTCTAGCTCCAAGAAGTTTTTTAAAAAGTACATGTACAAACAGAGATGAACAGCACCCCTATCTCATCGTGCGGACAAGACGACTGCAATGTAAATAGTATGTAACCCTTACCATCTAAGCCTGGCTTCAGCATTCACACCACTCAGGTCAAAGGCAGGCTGGGACTTGGAAGTCAAACTGAAGAAGTCTCCAGGGTGCTGTGATCTGCATGTTCTTATACCTGGCTTGCAACCACCATCTACAGTTGCTCACTACAGGTGGCACGGACTCCACACATGGGACGGCTGTTCTAATTTATTAGCCAGATAAGGATTCTGAACAGCTTTATCAGCTCCAACACTTTAACCACAGACCTTTGACCAAATTCCCTTTAAACATTTTTTTAAACATTTTTTTTAATGTTTATTCATCTTTGAGAGAAAGAGAGACATAGCATGAGCAGGGGAGGGGCAGAGGGAGAGAAAGACACAGAATCCAAAGCCGGCTCCAGACTATGAGCTGTCAGCACAGAGCCCAACATGGGGCTCAAACTCGTGAACCACGAGATCATAACCTGAGCCAAAATCGGACGCTTAACCAACTGAGCCACCCAGGTGCCCCCAGAAAACTGGTATTTTTACTAGTCTATACAAAGTGAGAGAATGATTTTTTTCGTTAGTAAGCTTATTAATTGAAGTATAATATGCCTACAGTAGAGGGCACCAACCATAAGTGTGAGGTTCAATGATCTGTAAGTGAACACACTATGTAACTACCACCCAGATCATTCACACTCAGAAATCTGCCCACTGTAGTCCCTTTTCCCAGTCACTTTCTTTCCCCTCCAACTGCCTCCCGAAAGGCAGTTCTTTCGACTGCTAATATTTTATTTATATATTTTGAATTTTTTAATGTTTATTTTTGAGAGAGAAAGAGAGACAGAGTGCAAGCAGGAGAGGGGCAGAGAGAAAGGGAGACAGAATGTGAAGCAGGCTCCAGACTCCGAGCTGTTAATACAGAGCTTGACACAGTGTTCGAACCCACGAACCGTGAGATCATTACCTGAGCCAAAGTCAGATGCTCAACTGACTGAGTCACCCGGGTGCCCCGACTTCTAATATTTTAACTGTGTTTTGCCAAATGTGCTTATCCAAGCTCTTGTTGAACATTTGGTAACATGAACAGTCCTGTACGTTTCTTCAGGTGCTCATATGTACACATTTCTATTGGGTTCCCACACAAGAGTGTACTTTACTAGGTGAAAAGACCCACACGTGTTTAGCTTTAATGGATCCTGATACACAGTTCTCTGAAACAGCTGGACTAATTTACACTCACAGGAGAGTTAGAGTTGTTTCTCGTTCTCTCAACACTTGGAATGGGCAGTCGTTTTAATTCTAGACATCCTGGAGCATATGTAGTGCTATCTCTTTGTGGTTTCATTTTACATATCCCTGATGACTACTGAGATAAACCACCTTTCGTATGTTTTTCAGTCATTTGGATATCCTCTTTTGTGAAGTACCTATTCAAGTCTTTGCCCATTTTCGATTCATTTGTCTTTTTCTCACTGCTCTGTAGAAGTTCTTTACATATTCTGGACATGAGTCTTTAGTTAGAGGAAATGCAAATATATTCTCTCACTCTAGAAGCCACTTACTATCTAAATTAATTTTTGCAGACGTTGTATTAGCTAGTTTAACACTGGAATAGGCCTCATGCAGGCAAAATTCTTTGAGAGGCAGGGATTGTATTATAATATACTTGGTAACATATTGCCTCACCAAGAATAATGCAGTTACCACAAAAGGCTTTTAGAAGGTGTTTAACTTCATCTAAATGTGGTTTATATCCTACTATAAAGTAATTTCTTTATTATATACACATATCTATGTATACACATATGTGCCTTTCAAATAAAGGTATCTCCACAGTGAATAAATTCATGTATTTCAATATCTTTTACTTGGAACCCACATCTATAAACTGAGAAACTAGATATAGGTCCTATTCTAAGTTTATACACTAAGTTTAACACCAGCAACCCAAACAGAGCTCTTAAGGCAACTAGACTCTTTAATTTCATTCTTCTCTTGTGTGAGGTATAAGTTGTACTGGGCACGTTAATGAGGAGGCTGCTCTATAAAGTCAAAGGGTCTCTTGCAGTGCATCCACAGAGAGAACAGCTCTTAGGCAGCCACAGGGGATTGCAAAGAGGGTGGGTACTTGACCAAGGGCAGTCAACCATAGGCTGGCCAAAGGCCAATGATGCAACCTGAAGTGAAAAGATCAGTCAAATCAGACTTCCTCTCTCCAGAAACTGATATATAAATATTGAGAGACAGAGAGAGAGAGAGAGAGAGAGAGAGAGAGAGAGGGAAATGGTAAAAAAAAAAAAAAAAAAAAAAAAAAAAAAAAAAAAAAAAGTGATACATGGAGAAAGAAGCCATAAAGAAGGTTAGGCCATGGTCAGAGCAATGTTAGAACAGAAGCTATGAGGTGGTGAGGAGAAACTCGGGAGGACACGGTAAGAATAAGAAATCAGTTCTAGAAAACAGAAGACGACAGGTGGAAAGCAGTGGAGTAACATGAACAGGGTGCCCTATGGTGGAAACATGCATACTTTTGCTACCGAGGCTCCTAGAGCTAGGCTATTGTGAATCAAGTCCCAGCCCCTTAAATCTAGGCTGTCCTGCCCATCTTCTTAGATGTGGTTGTACTTATTTGCCTTATTTGCCCATCTCTTACATTCTTATGTGTCACTGCTTCCCCAGTGGCCCCCACCTATAACCCCTTCAATAAAATTTGGGGGAGCTGAAATGAGTCTCCATACCTTGTACTGAAAGAGCATAGCAACACAGCTCTCCAACTCCATCTAATAAAGGGACTGATTTATGATTACGGATGTCTTCCATGAATTCAGTTTAAGACATATTAGACACTTTAGGAGGGGGAAATATGCAGACACTAACAAGAAACGGATCTAATGCCTCTCACAGCTGACAAAGGAGTCATTACCTGAGTGACATTGTCTTCATTGGCACTGTTGAAGCGCTGCACATCCGGAGAACACCGGCTGCTATGTTCGATGGCACAGCGTTGTTCTTGGGGGGCACTAAAGCTATTGGGGTAATAATTTGGAGCACCACCTTCAAAAAAAAAAACCATACGGATTCACTTAGGGAGATGAAAACTGAAGTAAGTCTGAAAACAGTCAACGTGATAAGATATAATTCAAGTGGCAATTACATATACACATATGTACACACACGTGCCTGCGTATATACACACACAATACATAAGCATGCCATGTACCTATTATTTTTAAGGTCTTCTGTTTAGCTACAGGCAGGACTCAGATTCTTAAAGAACAATGCCAGCTGGCAAATGCTCTCACATGGGTGGGCCCACTCTGGGTCTTGCTGAAGAGATCTCAAGGTTGCTTGAACACTTCAAGGGATCTGACCTTTAAAATCCTCTGGTGCTTACCAGTACGAATATATTCATACAGGTTTGATCTGGCCCCCACAGAAGAAGAGACCCAAAGACACATTTCAAATCTGAGAGTTGCATTTGGGCTTGAGCTCAATTCAAACACCAAATCACAGAATTCTTGGGAGCAACTGAAAGTTGCTCTGCTCCTTCAATCTACAGACACATAAACGGAGCCCTGAGCTGTTAACTGCCTGCCGCATGGTCACGTGGTAATTAGTGGCAGAGCTGGTGTCGGGGATCTTTTTTGTGCCTTCCACTGCAGCACAACCATCTTCCCATTTCCCATTCCAGAGCTCTCCTTCACCCTTCCTTCAAGGTTTTTAAGATTCTCGAAGTCTCTTTCCTTTATTGACTATGACTTTATTCAGCTCTAGCTTCACTTTCGCTTCCCTCCACAGATGAATAAAAAAGGGTTTTCAAAAAAATTTGGTATTTCAGGTATGTCAGCACTCATTTTATCTAGACTTCTAGAAAAAATAAGGATAAAATGCAATCAAAACCTATTTTACAACTTCTGGAATAAATGAAAAGGCTTTTCTTTTTCATTTTGGCATATTTACTTTCCTACCTGCTTTGACTGGTATTAGCCGAAGCTTGAGTTACCTGAGCACATGCTGCCTAAATAGGAGTGGCCTAGAAACATAGTAAGTGTTCTGAACAAATCAGTCTGAGCTTGGAACTTTAACCAGCTCACTGCCAGAACAGATTATCCAGAGTGAATAATCAAGATGCACCTATACATGACACTGATCAAGGTACCAAGTGCACGTAGGAAGAAGGAAGGCACCATACTATTACGGAGCCCAATTACTAGCCCTTGGAAGTCATTCTAGGCGAGCTTCATCTATATCAAAGGTGTTGTGCTCCAACAACCAGCCACTACAGTGGTCTTCTGCATTTAGAATCAGCTTTTTGAAATGTGCCTATTTGGGTAATTTTAAAATTCTATTTCCAAATAAGTTCCGACCTTTACTCAAAGTAGGAGTTGTCTTCAAGTCTTTGACTGCTGGAAACAATTAAGCTCTTTCATCAAAACTCAAGAGCACACCCCAAATGCTTGGCTTTTAAAACTGGGCAAAGGGTGTGTCAAAATGTAGCCTTAAGTAGTTTTTTCATACATGTGCCACTATAATGGTAAACAAGAATGATAAACATGAAACAGGTACTAATTAATGAAGTTCTGAAATCTACATGAACCTCTCTGATACAGGTAGTCTCAATAAAGAAGGACTGAGGAATATGAAAGAAAAAAAATCACTTTAGAATAAAAATACAGAAGACAGATACAAGGAAGTAACAATTACTTTGGGTAATAACACACCCCGTTAGCCCTATAAACCTCAGAAAGCAGAAGTATTGCAAACACCTAATATAATCAGTTAGTGAGTAAATAAACTTGTTAAATACATAGAAAAGGCTTAGTCATGATGATAACAAATGCAAGGCACAAAATCATATAAACAAAATAATCTTGGGGCGCCTGGGTGGCGCAGTCGGTTAAGCGTCCGACTTCAGCCAGGTCACGATCTCGCGGTCCGCGAGTTCGAGCCCCGCGTCGGGCTCTGGGCTGATGGCTCAGAGCCTGGAGCCTGTTTCTGATTCTGTGTCTCCCTCTCTCTCTACCCCTCCCCCGTTCATGCTCTGTTTCTCTCTGTCCCAAAAATAAATAAACGTTGAAAAAAAAAAAATTTTAAACAAAATAATCTTAAGTATATAAAAAATAGTCACAGAAAAAAATACAGCAAAATGCAACAGTTGTGGTCTCTGAGGGCTGGGGCTGTAAGTGGGTTTTCCTTCTCCCTTCTCTTCTTTCCCTTATGTTTTCTAAATTTTCTTTAGGGCACATGTATTATTATTATCATAGAAAAGTCATCTTTGAATATAGACATCTATAGCCATAGATATAAATATAAATCATCAGTAAAATTTCTAAAGGGATCAATGTAAGCAGCCTATTACTAAAATAAATGTGTCCTAAATAGAAAACAAAAAGAAAATTAAAATCTATATTAAGCTAGAAAATATTAAAAGGAAAAAAACATTAATTAAACAGTCTCTAATTAGAACAAGTTATCACAAATAGAAGCTGCTGATACATGGCACCAAAAACAGAAGTCAAAAGAAAAAAATCATAAATTTGAAAAATGAGTTCCAAAAAACAAAATGATGCACTACAGTCTCATCTCACCAGTTGATTTACATGAATTCAACTACATGCCCTTAGTGAAAAGGGAAGAATGCCTTGATTTACTCTGTCTCCCTTATCTCACCTGCCCCATCCCCTCTGAACTCTAGCTACATTTGCTCCTCCTCAGCCCCGGCAAAGTGCAAAGAGGAACAAGAAACAGGAACTCTTGGCTGTTGCACTTCCAAGAGTCCAAGTCCTAGCGATTTAATAAACTATCTACTTTGTGAAGTCCCTAAAACCTAACCCCTAAATTGAATGCTACTCGACAACAGCCAGTGTGTGAAGGATTTTCCTCCCTGCCTTTCACTATCAGATGGACAGCAAGTAAAAATGTGAGATGGGAACTGTCAATAAAACCTATCAGATAAAGTATACAGATAAACTTTCCTTGCTTCATAGAGGAGAAGGTCCCCTGGATCTTCTCCACAGAGCAGGACACGGCAAACCGCTGGCCTGGCATGGCGTCCCCTGCCCTCTCCCCGCTCAGCAGGGCCCTCTGCCCTCCCTGGGCGAGCCGAATGTCTTAGGCGTACCCTGATTGTCGACCATGCACATGGGGCCGTCACGCTGGTAGTTGGCCACTCGAGCACGGAAAGGACAGTTCACAGGTATCTGAAGATAGTTGGGTCCCAGGCGGTGGCGGTGGGTGTCAGGATAGGCAAAAAGGCGGCCCTACAGTTATAAATGAAACAGGCATTGGTGCTGTGCAGTAACAAACAAAACAGAAGGGTCTATAAACTTCATTCTCAACTTTGTAGCACAAAGCACTCTGTACCGGGTTACCACAAAACGCTGCCTACTATCCCCTGAAGACAGCAAAGTTTCTTCCCTTATGAAATGAGTTCTCCGTAACTGAACAGCTCGTAATCTTCCACGTCACACAGCGAAACAACTCCAGATTTTCACACCTGTTCTAGGTAAGAACTCCTTTGTTTTCTCAAATAACAAGTTAGCGTCCTGTCTTATATTACTTCCTACTCTCAGAGATGTATCACATCGTAGGCAACTAACTGGAATCTGTGTCCTTTTCACGGTGATCTGGCTTACCACTTTGGATGACCCTTGAAAATTTATTAACGTGACCTGGCTGAAAGGTAACTGAACCCACCGTCCATGACCCTTGAAAATTTATTAACGTGACCTGGCTGAAAGGTAACTGAACCCACCGTCCATTACCATACAACCACTACCACCCTCGGACACTCCTCAGCTCCCGTTGGAGTAATTTCAAAGTTCTCCTCACTGGCTCTCCGCTTCCCGCCCCTCCTCCGACTGTATCGTCCTACACACTCCCGCCACAAGAATGGGCCTAAGGCCCCACACCGATTACGTTACTTACCTACTTTAAACCTTTCCTCACTGGTCACCAAGTGGCTAAACGAGTATCACGGTTCTTCCCTACATGTCTCCTCACATGCTCCAAGGCATTAGAACTCACAGCCAATGACTTGAGAAGTTGTGGAAAAACCGGGCTAGGGACTGATATCTTGACTGCGCCCACTCCATAAAGCCCTTTCACTTTCTAAACACACTTTTAAAAAACTGTAACGACAGCACTTTGAATATAAAACACATGTTTGCCACAACCACAATGCTGATAGAAATTGTATGATTCATTCATATAATTCAATTCACCCATATAATTGCATGGTTTGCATTTATCATCTTTTCTCAGGACTCTCTTCCCAACAGTTTCAATGAAATGGCTTAGACATTTATTTTTTCTTGTTGCAGAGAACATGTATTTGATCTGTGGTCCTTTCCCCTGGGCCTAGGCCTCCACCCAATGCTTCGGTGCTCTTCTAATTGTATGACTCGGTGTTGTTAACTGTCTCCGTGTCTCACTGTGGTCCCAGAGACCCATGGTGACACGGATTGTGAAAAGAATTTTGATGACATTTGCTCCTCACCCTGTTTCCTCAATGCCAAGGCTATGCAGTCTTGGCTCTACCCGTGCCAAGTTCATGCCTTGACAAATCCCATTAACCTCCTTCACACGGTCCAGCCGCCTTCCAACTCCAGGCGGGGAGGTTGAGGGCCCAGGGTCATGCTGTCTTGGCTTCCTTTCCTTTCCATTTTCAACACAGGCACTTCTGCCTATCCTCTGCACTCTGCTTGGCCTTTCTTCTCTCCTCCCTAACCTTCACTTCTCTCTTGTTCTGTCACCAACTGTAGCGATGCTACTTGATCACAGATCACATTTCTCAAAACGGAAGAAACCTTCTTTTCCTAAAAGGTCTAACTGTACAAACTTCTACTTAAGCACTGAAGTCCCCTCTGACGTATGTTCCATGTACCCAATCCTACGTCTTCTACTTCAGGAAAAAGTGACTGCTTACAGTTTAAATACGGTCCACCATTCTATCTATACTCAGGTCTCTCTCCTGCCCCATTTCATCTCTGTTGAAAACTGAAATCCTATCCATTCTTCAAAAGCTATCTCAAATGATAGCTCATTCTCAAAACTCTGTCATCATCCTCCTAACAGACAAGATTTCTCCTGATTCACGGGGCCTTCTGCTTTATATTATAGTTATTTTCAATCTTTATATCTGTTATAGCAGCCAGGACACTTTGCCACACACAGAGGTATTCAATTTATAGTAGTTAAATTGAACTGAAAACGAACAAAAACTTATTTTCTATAAAAGTCCCAAATGTTCCCAATGTCAAATCAAACAAGGTTCTATTAAAAAAAAATACAGGGCACCTTAGCTTGTCTCCATGGACAGTGACTCCTGAACTGGACTTGGACACTTATATAAGAAGCATCCATCTGTCACTATGGTCTGATCTGGGGTAATGATCTTTAACCCCTGTATCATGGTCAGAGTCCAAAAACACAAGAGATTGATTTACTCACTAATTATTAAACCAATTATTTTCCTACTGATTTCTGGCCCCCCAAAAATATTTTTCCCTATTTCTACTCTTTTTTTTATGTTTATTTACTTTGGACAAGGGGATGGAAGAGGCATAGAGAGAGGGAGAGAGCGAATCCCAAGCAGGTTCTGAGCTGTCAGGGCAGAGCCTGACCTTGGGTTCAATCCCATGAACCTAGACATAATGATAGGTGTCGAAATCAAGAGTCGGACGTTTAACCAAATGAGCCACCCAGGCTCCCCTACTCTTTCTACTCTTGAAAGAGCATAATGGAAAGTGATTTAAAAAAAAAATAGTGAATGAGTAGGAACATTACTGAGACAAATGGTTAAATTAACCCACTGCCTTCAATCAGTGGCAACAGACATTTAGTTCATAAAAACCATCTCCTGTCTCCTTTTACAGATGGAAAAATTCAAGCATCACCATGGAAGAGGAAATGAATCAAGTTATACTGACCAAGGTGTTATAATCAATTAATAATATTCCCTCCCATCAATTACAGACTGAACAAAGAGTGCTTTCTTTACTCTATGGATAGCTGAGGTTTTTCTAATGTAACTTCTTTTAAACTAAGAGACTAAATGTCAAAGTATTAACATACTGAAAGACTTTACTATGAAATTTGCTTTATACTGTAATACTATAATTTACGAATGCTTCAGTCAGACCCACAGGAACTGAGGAAACTAAGGACCTAGATGAAAATTTAAGTGATGTTTTGGTTAATTCTTCATACAAAAGTCAGGCCAAATTACACAGTGTGTGTGTGTGTCTGTGTGTGTGTGGGGGGGGGGGGGGGGGGTAGGCCCACGCACGCATATGTGTGTGCTCCTGCCTCTGAACATCTCAATCCACCAGGTTTACCTGAAGCATTTTGTCAGGGCTGGGCTCAATTCCAGGTGGCATGTTGCTTGGGTCAAATGCCATCTGTTCAACCTCAGCGAAGTAATTCACTGGATTCCGGTTTAAAACCAGTTTCCCAACTGGGATAAGAGGGTAGTCTTTGTGAGGCCAAACCTAAAAATAAATGTCATATTCACAATTACCAGACAACCAACTACAGGAAACTAATATAATGAAGCCCATGATAATAAGTGAAAATAGTGATTTTTTTAATCCAATAAAATGAAAAGAACTTCAACTGAGTACATTAGTTAAATCTTTCACACCAGTTAATGGTAAATATTGACATCTTCCCTGGGCACAAGTACATCAGCTTTTCAAGATCTGCTAATCTTGATTAGCTATTCCCTGCTAATAACGATAGATCAAGCCACCTAGAAGAACTCAGTGAACTCAGCAAACAGGAACTAGAAGTGTGATGCACAGATTAGGAAAATCCAAAGAGGCACCACTGCCATTTTGTACATGACTTCTCTATCATTATGAATGCTTGACTGGAATCTGTAAAATTAGGCACAAAGAGACTTAAAAAAGAAAACAATTTGGTTGTCAACGGACTCACCTTGGTGACATCAAATGGATTAAATGGAAAGGTTTCTGCCTCACTGAACGTCATGACCTGGATGTAAAAAGTCCAGGAGGGGTAGTTGCCTGTGGCGATGGCATTGAAAAGGTCTCGGAGGCCATAGTCAGGATCTTCCTGGGAAAGTCGTGCTGCGTCTTCAACAGAAAGGTTTTTGATGCCCTGGTCAGTCTGCAGAATCAGAGAAAGAGGCTCACACTGAAACGTACTGGCAAAGTTACGGAACTTTAATCAGTTATGCATTGAGGAGGATGAGCAATGCTACACAAACACTGGACCTTCCTTGTGACAATTCCACTCTTCAACTCTGATCCAAATATGAATTTATCAATAAGAAATTCCACTTGGTTATCCTCATTCTTTTAAATATGCAGGGATTCTGTAGGTGCATTTCATATTTAAAATTAGTCCTCTCTTTCCCTTTCTGTACCCTGAATTTTTTTAATTTAACTCTTAACATATAGTTGATTTTCAACGTCTCACCCATAATAAGAATGCTGTGACACTGTCTTCAGGAAAGCCAAAAACTTTTTGGTGTAACATATACAAAACATAAAATGTACCACTTTAACCATTTTAAAGTGTCCAATTCAGTAGATTTTTCTGAGTATATATCTCAAAATAAAGTTGCCAGGTAATATGGTAATTCTATGTTTGATTTCTTGAGGAACATCAAAATTGTTTTCCAGGTGGCTATTATTTCAATTGTTATACTCATATTACTTTTCAAATCAGAAAAAAGAAGAAAAAATATTTTTTAAATGAGCAAAAAATTAATAAAAGGACTATCTTTTTTCATGAAGTAATTTTTAACTCCCTGTTTTATAATAGCTCAAATAAATTACTAGATTATGCTCAGCTAGCATCCCTCCACCTCTACTGTCTTCCTTTTTTTAAAAGAAATCATAGAATCATAGTTCATACAGCTGAAAAGAACTTCAGTAGAGCCACTCTGAACCAATTCTCTGACTATGAGTAGGCAAAATTAGTATTCTGACTTCCCAAGCAAGCCATTAAAACCCAAATAAGTTAGTCACTGTCACCAGTGTTCCTATTATCACACCATACTGCTCTTCAACAGATTTCCACCTATATCTTATTCTGAAGATCCCCACAAGCCAAGCTTCGAAAGATTTCCTCAGCAAAGTGAACTCTGAAACTCTTTCTATCACAAAAATCTCAAGTCTCTCTAACCAGTGGCAAGACCTGAACTCTTCTTACCATCAGACCAGAAGTACAATCACCTTCCAGATTTAAAACTGGAGGTCACCGTCTGCAGATCACCCAGAGAGCGAATCCATTAAATTGTGCAATAATATTGCAATACTTTTCTGATTTTAATTGAATTCCCTTGGGCTCAGAAAAGACTAACCATAGGTCAGAATAATCCAGACTGATACATCCAAGTAGGTCTCAGGCTATCCCAGGGCCCTCTGCTGAAGAGACCCATAAGCAACCCAATCCTCGCAGGATCATGGACAGTTGCTATGATTATCCCAATTTTAGAGTGACAAAGCTGGAGCACAGGGAACTTTCAATAATAGTAGACCAAGTCACAGTTATCTAGAAGAGGGAAGAGTTGAATTCAGACTGGTCCAACTACAAAGCCACCACCATGCCGGTGCACCAGACACAATCACTTAGTCTGGCTCCCGGTGACACTACACCTCTCCTCTTGGCACTTACAAGCCCGCAGGGCAACTGTTTCTTAAAACTGTTCCTTGCCAAAGATTATAGATCCAAGTTATAAGTATAAAGGGGGGAGACAGTTTTCCTGTTTGATATACATACATAAGTTGTTCAGATAAAAACAGGACAGAAGGAAAAAACAGGTCTTGGGACAGATACCATTAAGAGGGAGACTGCATTTGTCCTCAGTCCACTTCTGTTTGTGCTTATTTTAGCAGTAGTATTTGGAAACGTGTTCTTAGGCAACCAGAGATTCTTTAAATAACCTTCTAGAGTTCTCTGAGAATACTGCTTATTGCAACAAATGCCAAGATCATAGTAAGAAAGAAGAGCCCTTTAAAACACTTCAATTAATTCAAATGTTCTCAAAGCTTCCCCTGAAGGAAAGTTATTTGATATGATTGTATGAAAGTAAATGAAAAAAACCAGAATTTTTATTTTCTTACATTTGTAACTGATTTTACTTTTTTCCCTATTCAGAATATACCCTTGATAAATGCTAAATAAATGGATGGAGGAGTTAAAAAGTTAGAAGAAATGTTTCTGGAAAGACAGCATCAGACATTGAGAGTAATGGTGAGATTGGTATTATAGACAGGAAGTCCCCATTTCTGCCACTGTCCCCTCCCGGACCACAAAAGGTATCTATGCTCAAATCGATGACTCTGGGCTAGGAAAGGCAAAGCAACATAATACTTTACTGTTTGCTAAGGCTTGACTCTAAACTCCAACAAAGAAGTCTAGAAAGCTAGGCTAAACATGGTAGAAATCTCCTTTCATATAGCATGAAGGCCTGTATTATCTCCTTACATTTGAGCCCAAAACAAAACCTTAGGTCTTCCCTCTCCAGGGAGAATGGATACGCACCTGCCAGCACCAGAAACATTAACCCAGAGAACCAGCATGAAATGAGTATTTTCCCAAATATTTACACATTTCTCCCAGGACCCCAGAAGGAGAAGAGAGCTTGACCGTTGCCAGCAGCTGTGTGTTCCTACCCTCTGGCCACATGGAAAGAGACCAAAGAGAGCCCACACGGTTCCCCTAACAGGGCAGCGCACACCTGTTCATTTGGGCATAGCCAACAGAAGAGTCATGGTCCTGATCAACTGAGTCAATACTTCCCAGCCTTCGGAGCGGACATAAGGGAAAGGTGGAAAGGGCCTTGATCTCTGCCCAATCCTCAAGAGAAGTAAGGAGACATGGGTGGTGAGAGCTTTGTCCCCTCTTCCCCAAAGGCAACACGTACCTTATAATGGAATTTGCAATAAACTACCTCTCCACTCGCATTAACCAGCTTGAAAGTATGCGATCCATATCCATTCATGTGCCTGTGTCCATCTGGAATCCCTCGATCACTGAACAAGAAAGAAACCTAAGAAACAGAAAAGTAAATAAAGCCTAAATTTTTTCAGTTTCAATCAAAACATCCTAGATTCTTAAGACATTCCTAAGTTTCCAAAAAAATCTCTTAATGACATGGGACACACTAACCAAGTACCCACAGGAAAGGTCATCATTAGTATCATTTATACAAAATAACAAGAATTTTAAAGCAGAATGATATGTAAATCATTAGCTCATGGCTCAAAATTCTATAAAGAAAAGCAAAAGCAAATCTGAAAACTAGCTAACTTGTTATTCAAAATCTATTTTAACAGTAAACGTGTTTGGTACCACTTTCCCCTTCTCTCCCTGATAACAAAGAGCTTTACTTCATACTAGAGGCTTTAATCCTTAGTATTGGGAAATATCAATTGATAATGTTTCTAGATCATTTAAGGCCTATGAATGAGGGAAGATGAACAAATGCAGATTATAAAACTCTTCAGGATCAAGCAACCTGAAGAAGCCTCCCAAAAAGAAAGTCAGAAACCAAGTGCAGTGAGATAACCAGCACTGGAGAAATGGCACCACGGCGCATAATTAACAGTGACATGTTCTGATACAGTGAAAAAGGAGAGCCCCCACCTGATGCAGAGACTCAGGGCGCAGGCTCCAGAAGTCCCAGACCATGTCCGGATCCTTCAGGTGCGTCTGAGGGTTTCTCTTTTGACTGTGGATAAAGGACGGAAACTAAACAGAAAAGGAGACAAAAATCCAAAAATCAAGTTTATCGGAGTGATGGGGACTTACATTATACATTGCCTATTGTTAGGTAAGCAATATAATTGTTATAATTGTTGGATGATAATTCTGAATAGTATAATCCCAGAATTTCACACTGCCAAACCCTAAAACAAAATTTACCCTCTACATGTTCCCAGGACAAAGTGCCTCTTTTCATTCATGGCCTTAATGGGAATAGTCCCATTACATGGAAAACTGGACTATTCCCATTAAGTCAGTGAATCTTGAAATGCCAAACTGAGGACCAACAGTAATTGTTACTTGATCTCATAAAAAGATACTAAATACAGAAAAATGTGCTTTAAAAGGCAATCCAACCAACCCAAATTCTCTTCTTTCTGCTTTTCCCAAGGCCTCTCCTCAAAGGACAGTCGAAACAGATTATCTGAAACCAATTTAAATCAACAAACATTTGTAGAGTGCAAGATACTTTATCACCTACCAGTATGGCATCCCTGATGAAAAAAATGGGAGTGTTATTTCCAACAAGATCCCAATTACCATCCTCTGTGTAAAATTTCACTGCAAACCCACGAGGGTCCCGAACTGTGTCAGCTGAGCCCGACTCTCCAGCTAGAAGGTTCAAATGGGAAAAATGAGGCATAAGCCTAAGGTCATAAAAAAACATTAGGATCTATGCTTTCCAACCCACTTCCTAGAAGGAAATCAGGCACTTAAGTGCCTGAGCCATTATTTCTACCACCTGCCAGCCAATTCAGTCCCCAAATGAAACAAAATAATTGAGATTAAGAAGAGAGAGTTTTTGGGGCGCCTGGGTGGCTCAGTCGGTTGAGCGTCCCACTTCGGCTCAGGTCATGATCTCCTGGTTTGTGAGCTCGAGCCTGGTGTCGGGCTCTGTGCAGACAGCTCCGAGCCCGGAGCCTG